CGCCGATACAGATGGCGCGCGCATCGAGTATCCTAAGACGCACGTCGCCCACACGCGCTACCATGGCGTCGCCGTCGCTGCTGCGCAGCCTGCTGACGCCGCGGCCGACCCGGCGGCAGGCCATGCACTCGTATCTGGCGACACTGGCCAAGCAGGACCCCAGCCCCCCACCTACGGAGAGGTGTGCTGTGGTGGCGGACACTGACCAGCTGAAGAATGTCGGTGTGCTTAGCTCTGCCCAGGCCATTGATCCTGATCAAATCATGGTGGCAAAGCCGGAAATAACGGCCGTGGACATTGAGTCGCCGACGGCGCTTGGCGCCAGCCCGGCCGACCGCCGCCGCCGGCGCAGCGTGCGGCTCAACGCGCGGCGCGTGTCGCTGGACAGCCCCAGCCGAGTTGCGGGCGGCGGCGGCGGCTCGCCGAGCCGACTCGTGAGCTGCTCAGTTGCCCGGCGCCCGCCTGCAGCGGCAGCGCTTGCGTCTCAGCGGCACCACCGGCGGCGCACGGCGCCCGCAGGCGGAATTGCCGCCGAGTCTCTGGCGCTGCTGGCGGCGGCGCTGGGCGAGGACGTGCCGCGTCTGGCTGCAGCGCCCAAGGCGGCCGAAGCGGTGGAGGAGAAGGAGACAGAGGAGCCAAGCGAGTGGGAGACGGACGGCGCCGACGGGGTGCCCGACCTCGGCTGCGGGCTCCCGGCGTCCCCCGCGCTGGGCCTGGCCGACGCCATGCAGGGCGCCGAGCGCGAGGCCGATCAGCCGATCACCAGCGAGCCACTGTTTGAATCATCATTGTCGCTGTCGTCGTCCGACTTGGTCCTGCGGGAGCAGGCCGAGCGGCAGGCGCGCATTTCGGGGGCCGACGACTGCGAGTGGGCGGCGGCGCGGCTCGCCGGGCTCTCTGTGGCGTCGCCCGCAGACCCGCAGCAGCCAGAGGGAAGCTCCGCCCGCCAGCAACAGCGTAGGCGGCGCCAGACCATCGACGGCCTGGTGGCGCCGCTATCTACGTCGCTTCTTGAGGGGGCCGAGGACGGCGCCGACGGGGCGCTGGCGCTGGCGTCGGCCGACGACATCCTGGCCCACCGCCAAAGGCTGCGGCGCCTGCAGGAGCGCCGCCACCGGCGCCAGACGCTGGCGGCGCTCAACAAGCGGCGCTCGTCGTGGCGCGGATGGATGCCGCGCGCCGTCATGACCATGTCGTCGCCGCCGTCGTCGCCCGAGCCCGCGGATCACGTGGCCCACTGCGCAACGCCCCCCTCACTGCCTGCGCTGCATGGCAGTAGGAGCCCACACGTGACTGGCCACAGTCACGCTGCCATGCAGCACGCCCTCAGCGCCCTTCTTCCAGCTGCCATTGCTGCTGGTGGTGGCCAGGAAGGCAACCCTGTCTCTTCTGCTTATTCTGCGCCTTCTTCATCTTTTATTTCTGCCGACAGTATGTATCCGCCCGCTGCGTGGAACAATGGCGAGCCTTCAACAGCCGGCGGCAGCTCGGCGCGTCGTCGCATCACTGATATTGTTGTGTCGGCGCTGGGCATGGGTCACGCGAAAGAGCCCATGGCGGCAGAGCCCGCTGTTTCCGCTTCTTCCCCGGCGTTTGCGTATCCGCCGAGGCCTGTGCCCATTGATGCCGAGTGGGAGACTATTGAGCATGCGGACCAGACTGTGGCGACTCCGCCGCTACAGCAGGATGCCGAGTCTAGAAAGGACGCCGTGTTTGCGAGTGAAAACGATGAGGCGATGTCTCAGCAAGTCGAGCTGTTTGCTGTGAGCCAGCCAGAGCAGTTTGATGGCGTTGGTGCGTTTGCTGAGATGCCTCCTGCTCCTAATTCGTCTGGGGTTGCCAGTCTAGATGCTGCTTCTAAGGAAGCTACTCGGCCACCCAGCCCCACCATCGCCTCTCCTGCTGCTGTTGCTAGTCCAGATGCTTCGGTTTCTACTCCTGATCCTTCTGTGGTCTTTTCGCCACCTACGACCCGCGGAAGAACACGGTGCCAGAACCTGCCTCCAGCAACCAAACCAGCGCCATCTGCTGCTACCGTGGATACAAAGCCATCCGTGGGCCGCCGTCGCGCCCCGCTGGCCGCCCCTGCAGCTCCTGAAGTTCCTGCTGCTGCGGTACCGCGGACAACGAGGAAACGGCGAGCCGATGGCCCTCCTCCCACCATTGTTCCGGCTCCCGCGACTAAGCGCGGACGGGGACGCCCACCAGCGACTTCTGTTGTACGTGGGGGCCAGCGGGCTGCCGAGCCCTCGTCGGTAAAACCCCCGGTGTCGGTTATTTCGCCGCCAGCGACTCGGTCAGCCAAACGAGCCAAATCACACGCTGCATAGACGGCAGAATCATTGTTATGTTTTATTCACACACGGAATGTTAATATTTATTTTTTGCTAACAAGCAAGCCATCCTCCCTTTGGCCAATCTATTTTGCGAATGCCGAATTAACACCACCTCTACTCGATGTTTAATTATCTATCCCCAACCATGGTAAATGACACCACTTTGCATGTAGGGAAATTATTCCCTTTTATTGCACCTCCGATCACGCATGCTCTCGAATTAGACTGCGCATACTGCAATAAACTACACGTGGATACAATGCATCCCCCATCCATCTGCTATTCTAGGCCTCAGTAGCACTTAGTGACCGTGACAACGCAAGAGTTTGTCCTTGCTGCCTGCTTCTCTCGCTGTTTATGCGTGTGCATGAAGTGCGAGCCAAAATAACAAGAAACACCGGGATCGGAGATTCGGATGGGGAAAGGGAAGAGGGGGGGACAACCTCAACCCCACACCCCCCTTCTACTTGTTTTGGCTGCCGGCCGATGCAGGCAGAAATTGCCCACCTGTCGATCCTCGCCCCTCCTCCTCCCTACTTTAGTTTTTATTCCCGCCATATCCGATGAAAACAGCGCTTTGTAGCACAGAAACAACTAGTGTGCGAGAAGCAATATTAGCATGCATCCCCCACTGTCTTTCAGCGCGCTTCTCATTCACCTATTTGCTTCTCATAAGAGACTCGTGCATTGAGTTTCCCGGTGCACGCGTGTGCTTGGATAAAAAAAGGAGGATGTGCGGCAGATTGCATAGCAATTATGCATGCCTAGAATTATCCATATGCTTATCCCATTGCCAGTGTCTATTCACTTTTCTTATTCGTCTGTTGTGAAGATGCGGTGTGAAGGAGCCTCCTCATTCCCAGAAAGGAAACAATGATTCAGAACAAGGCCCTCTACCCTTTTCTTGGCACAAAGATGATGCACTCCACTAATTGTTTTTTATTGGGGAGGCTCTAGCTTTTTGCGTCGTCTATCTACATCTTCCATTTTTTCTGCAATTCGCCATCTGCAGCTCATCATCCTCTTTGTGTCTGCACGTTTTTCTTTGTGTTCCAGCTCCAACCTCGTCCTCCCCCCCGACTGAAGGAATTTGGGGTGCCGCTCCACCCAATTCCCGTTTTTTGTTGTTTTTTTCTGTCTCCACTTTGACAGCCAAACAAGTCCCTTTTTGTATATATACCCCTCCCTTCCTGTTCTATTTGATTTCAAGCACAGACATTTAATTCTTTCTCCTTTTTTCTCATCGCATTCCCTTCTCGCCCTTTTACACATTTTGTATACACACTAGGATGACTGTCTCGTTTACATATGTCAAGGAATCCTACTTTTTAAACAAAAAGACTTTGGTCTACCACGGTATGCTGGAAAGCAGTTCGCAGACTAGCGACTTGGAGCCCGTTTGGTCTATGCATGTAACTGATCACGAGGCGTCGCTCAGCACTGGACGCAATGGATCGGTAATCATGACGGCGGCTATGGACAGTGCCAGAAAAGACCGCGCGCAGTTCGCGTACCAGGGTAAAATGACCAACGGAGGATTTGATGGTACAAGGTCAACCTGGGCATTCCACGACTTTGAAGGACATCGGTATGACTGGGTAGCGGGGATTATGCAAAACTGTTGGAAACTGGAGGACTCTGAAGGAAAGACCGTTGCTCAGTATATCGGCATGGCTCGCGATTACAAGGTTCGTGGCACCTTGTCGTTTATGACAAAGGTCAACGAATCGCTTATTTCTCTCGTCCTCTTGACAACCAAACTTATCAACTATGATGTCGCCACAAAGTAATTTTTTTTCATAATTTTACAATAATTTATATATCAGTTTTTATTTGTATCGCTTAATTTGCTTCGGTGCCGATAATGTGTCTTTGGGTCGCGGTGTTGCGCCCAGGCCAAGCAAGCTGGGCCGGCTTGCAAAGAATGGCTTGTTGTTTTCAGATAACCCCGCATTATTGTTGTTTTCGCTTGCTGTTTCTGTCCATCCCATTCCACGCAGCATCGCCGCGCCAAACTCCTCGATCGGCACCCGCTCATACGTCTCTTCATCCACGTCCTCCTTACCCGAGCCATCATCAACATCCTTGCTACGCAAACCGGCCTGAATCCTTGGCTGTTTGGATGCCATTACTTGCAATCCAAACTTTTCCTCCTCCTTGACTTGCTCGTCGCCGGGGTTCTTTGCCATCCAATCCTTGTTGCGTTTCACTGGGATTACTAGCGGCTGTTTCTCGCTTTCGTTTTCGCCCAGTATAATATCGCCTTGCTCGCCAACTATCGCCACTACTTTCTCCTCCCCGTCCTCTGCGTGCGCCTCAAACCCGTGTATTGGCGCTTTGCCACTCGCCAATGCTGCTTTGCTGGTCGCTGAGGGCGCAAGCTTGAACCCTTTGAACCCGCCTGAAGCTGCTGCCAGCGGCTTGCTGCCAAGCGGCCTGCCCGTTTTCCGCATTGTATAATAGTAGTTGTAATAAAAAAAAGCAAGTAGCAAAAAACAGGCAAAGGTAAATTGCAATTCAGCGCGCGGTTCAGCCAACAAGCAAAACGAGTGTGATGCGCTTGCTTCGTTGTGGGGACCAATCAGACCACTATATTGTTTAATTGCACCTCTTCCTGCAGGATTCGAACTTGGGCCTGACGAGCAATAGAAAAAAGCAAATAGTAGTCCTCGCCGGGGCTCGAACCCGGATCACCTCTTAGCCCATACTGCGCTTTGGCGCAGAAGTAGGAGAGAGGCGCACGATCCATTGTGCTACGAAGACGCTTGCTGCCCAAAAGCCAAGGGTGAAGCTTTCAAGCTAAATCACACCAATATTTCTGGATATTGTTAATATTATTTATAATTATTGTTGCGCCACTAACAAATACTAATTTTTGCACATTTTACCCGAGACAACGTCGTTGCTAGGCCGTTTCTTTTACGCATTTTTCTAGCACAGCTAAGCGCTACTTGCAGCATATGGTAATAGATATGTATATAAAGAACAGAGCTTAGAGCCTTAAAAGAAGAAACCTCTGGCTCATCAATTACTCATTAATGATGCTCATTCTTTAGTTTCCTTTCCACTATATGTGACACAGGGAAAGATCATATCATTGATCTTTTGCGTGTCAGAGACAACTGGAGTAGGGTGCGACTATTAGTGTTTAAACGCAATCTTTCCCTGGTTTATGAAGGAGAAGGGGAGGCTTTTTGGGAATAAACCTTGGAATTATTATTAACTGACACTTGAACAATTACACGTGTAACACTATAGGTGGGTAGTACTATAGCAGCTTCTATGCCTACAATTACTAAATCATGGCGTGCATACGCCCTGCATTCCTAGCTAGCAAGAGTTAGACATTGGGAAAATAAACTCCTGCAACAGGTCTTCTATTTTTCAAATCACACAATAGTTTGCAGTCATTAACAAGAACACCATCCGGATAGCTTTGAAACAAGTATTGTCCATCCTTAGGATTTTGTACTGTAGACAAATGCTTACCATGTACTTCATACCAGCTATTAATTACCACGTAGCTACTTGAGCCATACATACTACACATGGACTTTATAGACCCATGGTTGCCAATTACAATATACTTTATGGATTCAGTATAGCTTACAAACTGTAGGTTAGTTAATTTGGCACTATCCAGTACACTTATGGACATGTTTTCTAGTAAACATTTATACTTTGCATAAATATTTGCATGCAAATCCACGCCATCAGCTGAGGTGGACAAGAAATTAGCCAGCCAGTAGCAGACTGCCTTGCCACTTGGAATAATAAAAACTGGAATTATATGTGCTGAAGCCATAGGTGCGTTTGTTGTAATAAAAAAATAGTGGGCAGATGGAATAAGTAAAGAGAAATAATGTATAAAAATGCAACATGGTTCAAGGGTTTATATATGCAGTTCACACACAGTAGCTCTCAAAGTCTCTTGGACATCCTCTTTGTGCTATTGCATGCCGTTTAATATGTACATTCAATATATATATTAAATTTATATTGGGCGCACTGAATATGGTGCTATTTATATAATTTAATATAATTTTTCCATTTTAGACAAGTCTTCCTTTGTAGTAAAGATTGTGAAAAAAAAACCTACAATGGGCAAACCAACGAATCAGATTTGCTAATTGTTGCTAAAAGGAAACCAACGGATTAAAATGTCGCAACTTTGCTCCTAATGATTAGCATGGTTGCAAAAATAGCAGGCATTGTACACTACCATGAAATTATGTCCACTTTGCAGAATGGCCTTGTGTTGTAAGACAGTAGATGTTTCAATATTTCTAATTTTTATAGATGTATTTTGTAAAATGAGCTCCCCCTTCTGTGACACAGGGAAAGATCATAGCATTGATCTTTCGTGTGTCAGAGACAACTGGAGTAGGGCGCAAGTATTAGTATTTAAATGCAACCTTCCCCTGGTTTACAAAGGAGAAGGGAGCAGGGTGTTTTTAGAAAACCCTTTTGAATTATAAATAAACTGACATTGGCACAACTATACGTTTAACAAGGAGTGCCAGCACAGAACCATTAATTGAATATATGACCCCTGGAGGGAGTGAGGGGGGAGAGGTTGGGTTGAATGCGATTAATGTGTTCAAAGGCAGCAAAGGGGATTTGATATTCACAGACTTTTAGAGATCAGACTAAGAAACATGTGATTGTTTCGTTTGGCCAGGGGAGCCAATGGCGTCCAAGAAAGGGCAAGCAAATTTTTTTTGGGCATTTCTTTGAAGGCAAGTCTTGATTTCAATTCCGCCTTTATATTCACATTTGCACATTTCCTCTTTACTTTTCTAAATCTACTTGCAAACAAAATGGGGGCCAAGGACGTAATTTTCATTGATGGCGATGTTTCGGGGCAGATTAGCGAGCTGGCGCGGTACATTGGCGAGCTGAGCGGAGCGAGCGACATTGAGGGCTTTGTGGCGGGAATCACTGGCAGCGAAAGCGCAGAAGCAGCGGCAGAAGCGGTGCTGCAGGCGAGCCTGGGCGGCACGCTGGCGCGGGCGCCCGAGGCACAGATGGAGGCGGCATACAGCCAGCTGTTTGCCATTGTGGCCAGCTCCGGCGGCGACGCATCACTGAGCGGCGCGGCAGCAGCCGTGGCTGATGACGTGGCGGCGCACGCTGAGAGCGGCGTGGCGGCGCTGCGCGTGCTGAACAGCCTGTACGAGCTGGTGGACGGCGCCACGCAGGCGCGCGTGTTTGAGGCCATGGTCGCCACAGCCTCGCGCACCGACCACGTGGCGCTGGTGGCTCCAGCGGCCGCCCGCCTTACGGCGCTTATGGGGGCCTGGGGCAGCGGCGCAGGGCGTGCGGTGCTGGCGCTACGGCGCGCTCTGGACGCCGCGCAGCTGTCGGCAGAGGCCTTTGCCTCGGAGGTGGCGCTTCTGGGCTCCGGCGACTGCGACGACGCGACGGCGGCCGAGGTTGCCGCGTCGGCTGTTGTGCGCCTTGCCAACGTGCCGGCGCTTGTGGATGTTGACGCGCTGGCCGGCCTGCCACGCGTGCAGGAGCTGAGCCGCCGCGGCGCGCTGGGCGATGCTGGACGCGTGCTGGACGCATTGGTGGCAAGCGACTACGCGCAGTGGACGCGCTTTGCTGCCGACAATGCGGCGCAGCTGACTGCGCTGGGCGTCGATGCTGGCCGGGCGGCACACAAGATGCGCCTGCTGACCGTGGCCTCCGTTGCTGCCGACAGCCTGGGCCACGCCGTGCCGTTTGCCGACGTTGCCAGCGCCATTGACGTGCCTGCCGAGGACGTGGAGATGTGGGTCATCGACGCTATTCGTGCTGGTCTGATCCAGGGCAAGATGAACCAGATTGCCCGCACGCTGCTGCCCACGCGCTCCACTTACCGCACCTTTGGCTCGGAGCACTGGACCCTGCTTGCCTCCCGCCTGGACCAGTGGAAGACGTCGCTGGACAGCTTGCGCCCCGTCGTCAACAACGCCAAGCTTGTTGCGCAGCAGAACGCACTGCAGATGGCTGGCCAGTCGCGGGTGACTATCAAGGAGTAAACGTTGGTTTATTTGTTTCAAGCTTTTTTTTTTGGCAGACAGGCTAAAGTTGTTTGACAATTACATAAAATGAACTCTACGAAAACGTGTCAGTTGACGTCTAGTTATTTTGATTAATATGTAGCATGATAAGTCACATCTTGTCAACATATTTCATGTCAACACTACTTTATGTGTGAGCTCACATTTATGCTTTCGAGGCATAGATATTGATTGTCTTTAATGGCCCAATTTCGGCTAAACACTCTTCTCCAATTCCAACAAGACCGAGCATATCTCCAAGCTTTGTAGTTTCCGTAATGAGTTTTCCATTAATCTTGTACTTTATTGAGTTGGAGCCCAAGCGTCCCTCTAACCACGTCTGAATCAATTTGCCACGGGGGCTATTGAGAACATGTCCAAATTGCACGTCCTTGTTATAGCTAATCTCTATCCGGGATGTAACAGAAACGCCATCCAATAAAAATATTAGGCACACACTTCCCTGATTGGTGGTTGATGAGTTCATGTCTTTTAGTCGGTGCAAAAATATGGATATGTGAAAACTTTGGTAAGGAAAAAATAACTCGCGGATTTGCTGAAGGAGCGGATGTTCTTTTATTCGACTACCCGCAGGAATGCAATGCTGTAACTTAACGCCTTGCCATGGCAGGGCGTTGACTGGGAGGCGGTGGTGGGGTGCGTCCAAACTAATACAAAGCGCTTGACTGGCTTTGTATGGCACTTGAATGACAGCATCACAAGGTGTTCTTTTGCCCAAAGGTCCACCATAAAGTCGTGAGCACGCAAAAGATGGGCAAATTAAATAGCTGATCCAGTATAAGATCATGTTGTCAGGTTATCAGATAATTACTATATGGCCATTGCTAACAAAAATCCATGTTTACAGCAAACCAGCCCCAGTCTTGAGTGTGCGTGTGGGGGGGGAGTAAAAGGCGAGGCTCGTGGACCTAGATCGAGTAATACGCCATTCCGCTAGCACAGTCCGGATAGAGAGCATTTCGAGAATCTGGACAGTTAGGCGCGAACAACGTACTCTCGCGACTCTTCGGACGAGATTCCGCCAGTTTTATCGCGCGTGTCAATGTCGCGCTCTTCGCCACGGTTAACGAATGGATGCATAGTGAATGAAAAAATTAATTAAAGTAACAGTAGCAATAAAATATGCGCTGCCAACAATAGTACAAGCAAAAAAAGAAGAAAGAAAGAGCAGGAAATGTCAGTGCTAGAGAAGAGAAAATATAAACAATACTTTTTGTTGTAGTGCAACCTGGGTCGTGGAAGCTGCTCGATATGTCCAGATCCTTTTTTGTATATGGTCTCTGGGCAGCTCTTTTATATAGGGAATTTTAGAACAAGAGGTTGAGAGTGGGAAAGGGAGAGAAAAAGAAAATGGCTGAATGACAAAAGAGCTCGGCCAGCTAGAAGACCCACCCCCAAATTGGCTGTGTTTGGTAACCACGCCCCCCATTCTACTGCACAGCGATTGTTGTGCGTTACTATTCATCTGACCCATCTTTCCTCCCTCTTCTCTCTTTCGCTTCCGTCATCTTGGCTAGAAAACAAGGCGTTGATGGTGTAAACAAGGTGGCTTTGTGTTCTCAAAAAGGAAAAGTTTGTGTGATGCGTCGTCCAAAAACAAATAGATGAATACATCACTTTGGGAGCTGTTTCAACAGTGTCCCGCGCTCTCATTCTCGTTTTGGGATTTTTGGATCTCATGGGTGCGTACGCGTG